CTATCTATCTATCTATCTATCTATCTATCTATCTATCTATCTATCTATCTATCTATCTATCTATCTATCGTCTATCTGTCTGACTGTGTTGGGGATACAGGAAGTGTAGTGGCATGATCCAGCAAGACAGTCTGCATGTTGCAAAGTGCATAGAGGTGGAGCAGGTATGTGAAATCAAAGGCGGATAAAAAGGCTTTCCCAGTTGTGGGCAAGGTCCAGCCTATGGCAGGTGGAAAGCTGCAAGGGATATTTGTCATTGCCCTTGCTAGCCATGTTGCCCTATTGGCTTAGGGAGCGGTTTCTGTTTTCTTGCCTCTGCAGACACCACCAAGCACAGAGAAAGGGCTCCGTCTCTTTGGGCAGTTGCTACACACGCGGCCTTTCCTGCTGACCTTCATCCACACCCTGGAAGGCCAGCGAGGTTTCTCCATGCGAGATAGAGGCGCTGTTGCTTCTCTGACGATGGTGGCCCTGCAGGGCAGGCTTGACTATGCTACTGGGGTGCTGAAGCAGCTGCTGGCGGACCTCATTGAGAAGAACCTGCAGAACCGTGCCCACCCCAAGCTGCTGCTCCGCCGGTGCGAGACCTTCTTTCATTCCCACGCTCCTGTCCTCCTGGCCCCAATTAAACGTTGCTATTTAACAATTAAATTGGCAACGGCGAACGGTGCATGAGTCCGTATTATCAACAGTATTCTTGGGGTAGTCAGAACACCAGTTTCAGAACGCGATGTTAGAAGAGTGGAGAGATCCAGATCCTTTTCTTCCTTTTCACAAAACACAACTGCAGGCATAGGGGACCTCTCCCATCTCACAGTCGCAAGCAACACTCCTCTATCTTTCTCTTGTTCCAGGACGGAGTCGGTGGCCGAGAAAATGTTGACCAATTGGTTTACTTTTCTGCTGCATAGGTTCCTGAAGGTAAGAGTGGCTGAAATCTGGGCCGCCTTTGGGTCTTCAGACCTATTCTATTTCAACCCTGGAATCGTTAGCTTCCCCCATTTAATGATATTCTCTCTGCCCAGTGGGAAATTTGAGTGTGAATGTTTTTGTTTTTTTTTAAAAAAAAATTATTTTATTACATAAACAACACATGCCCACACCGGTGGGAAAAGAAAAAATCAGAACACAAAAAAGACAAAAAACAAAAAAACAAAAAACAAAGCAGGGAGCGAGGAAAAAAAAAAAGGAAAAACAAAAGAAAAAAAACACAGGTATATGTTATAAAAAAGTATATCAGCTGGTTGCAACATATTTTGGTGCATCTCTTCCATTAATTCACATTAATTCAAATATCTTAACTCAAAT